GATAAATGAATTTATCAACTTGTACTAACACATCTTCAACTATTCCTTGAGGCACTTTTACATATTTATCAGCAAGTAAGAGAATTATAGAAGTTGATTTTAACTCACCTAGATTGAGACTTTGAAAAAGTTAATATGGAAGCAAATTCACACAAGCTCCAAGATCAAGTAAGGCTCTTTCAATTTTATGTTCTCCAATAAAGAAAGAAATTACAAGACAACAAGGGTCTTTATATTTCAAAGTATTATTATTCTGAAGAATGACACTTTTAAGTACTAATCATGTACTATTGTATCCCTTTTGTTATGAGTGTGTGTATCCATTACTTGTATGTTTTAAGTACATGAAAAATGGAAAGAATATAAGATGAATTGTGAGAAGTGATGCGAAAGAATCAAATAGAGATACAATTGAGTTGGTGGATGCCCGAAAGCTACTACATGTATGTAATAGAGTCATTTGATATTGTGTTGCCTAGAAGAATAAGAAAATAATTGAGAAAATGTATGAGTCATAAGGGAAACTCTATTGTAAATTTGGTAAACCAAAGAATCAATAATGATATTACATGAGAATTTCAAGTCGTTATAGGAATAATATCCAAAAAACAATTGTAACTATATTATTTAAATAACTTAAATTTTTTATAAAGGTAATTAGGCCACTTGTTGGCCTGATTATTCATTTTAACTACATTGAACGAACGATACACCATTCACTCTTATGTAAGGATTTTTATAGAGTTGATGAATTTTTATCTCATGTTGCCACATAATATGTGCCTTTTTCTTGTTGTGTGGTTGAGTGATTCTCATATTAATTTTTTTTTATTGCACTTACAATCTCTTTAATGAATTGATCTACTTTGTTGTGATTATACTTCTTATTTATGTGTCATTATAAGCACAGGTTTGTGGTGATGAATGCACATAACTTTGATTCTTTAAGGTAAAGTTCTTGTTAGGTCAAGTTATAAATATTTCTTTAAATTGGTTAGTTATTATTGTTAATCTTTATTATTCCTTTATTTTATAATAAAAATAATATGAACTAATCGAGAAAGAGAAATCATTATTCCCTTCTTGACAAAGTACTATTTATTAGAATATTACTTTGTTTTCTTTTTTAATTTCATTCTTAATATTAGATTTATTGAAGACTGAGTTATATAATTTTTTTCAGTTTGTTTTCTTTAAGGTTATTTCAGTCTCCTAACCCAAGTTATGAGTTTTGTAAATTGACCTGATTAACTAGGGTTTTTCTAGGTCTATTTTTGCAATTGAATTTTCTTTTTAATTTTTTTTTAAAGTTGATTAAGAATTAAACTTTACAATTCATTTTGGTTTGATTTTTATGAGGTTATCTCAGTCTCATAATTTCGGTCAAAGATTTGATGGATTAAACCAAATTAACTTAGGTTTTTTTTATTCTTTTTTAATTGATTTGTTTTTCAATTTCATCCTTCAAAATTGAATTAATTGATAATTAAATTTCATAATTTATATTGATTTACTTTCTAATATGTTATCCGGATCTCATAATTTGATTGATTGACTCAGGTATTTTTGTCCTTTTATAATTAATTTTTATAATTTTATTTTTTAATATTGAGCTGTTTGGGAATTGAGCTTTAATTTTTTTTATTTGATTTCTATGAAGTTATCATAGTCTTAATGATTTATGTCATGGATTTCACATGTTAACTTGCATTAACCCGAGTCAATTTAATATGTTGTCGTCTAAATATTTTGTTTTTGAAATATTATCTTGAAAGTTTTTCAATCAAACTATTTTTTTATTTGATTATCTAAGTTACTTTTTGATTTGTCAAGTTGTCCGAGTCATATGGTATTAATCTCTACAAGGTTAATTTTTTTCCTTTTGGAAAACATATTAGCAATGCTTGAATATTTTTATTTTTTTTTTATTAGCAATGCTTGAATATTTTTATTTTTAAAAAAAAATTGATTTAGTAATATTTCTATATTGATAGAATCATAAAATACATGTACGTGAATAACATGTTGTTGATTTAGTAGTAATTTTAATGTAAATAAATGTTCACCAAATTTTCATAATTGACTTACAATGTTAAGAATATTATGAATTATAGATATTAAAAATAAAAACAACTTAAAAAAAAAGGATCAGGTTAATGGGAGGGAGTGAAAATTACAAACTAAATTGGTAGTCTGCACTACGTTATAGGCCGGATAAAAAAAATTAATGTAAAAAAAAAGAATATTTAAATATTAATAGTGTTTCTAAAGAAGAACTCTTTGATCGTGTCAACTTAAATAGATTTAATAAGCTCAGATGATTTAATAATATAATTATAAAAAAATCTAATAAAAATAAAAAAGAAAAAATGACAATGACTAATAAAAATAAATAAATGTTTGCCAATATTATTATGAAAAGATATCATTTTAAATATTCTTGAAAGGTCCCAACAATCTTATTTGATAACAAAGTAAAAATTAAATGAGAATAACATTGTAAAGAGATTGAAAGGTCCCAACAATCTTATTTGATAATAAAGTAAAAATTGAATGAGAATAACATTGTAAATAGAAAAAAAAAGTTCAAAACTTAATTACTAGTAAATCAAAGAGGATGATTTGAAAAAAATAATAAATTTGACTCTAGTCAACATGCTAAACTCGTAGGTCATTTGTGAAGTTGAGATCACCCTGTAGAATAGAAAAGAAAACGAATAACAATAGAGGTTAAGTCTCTTGAAAACTAAAAAATAAAAATCAATTGTGAAAACTCGAGTCAATTGGGGTTAACTCAACTAGCTTATGACCTAGGATATGACATTAAGATAACCCTATAAAAAATGATAAAAACCACAAAGTTTAAGGCCTAATAATCGAATATCAAAAGACAAAATAGAACTTAAAAAAAAAACAATATAAAACCTAAAAGAATCAAAGTTAAATCGGGTTAATTTTTTAAACTCGAAACCTAATTCATAAAACCAAGTCATATATAGAGTGCAAACTTGTAAAAATCATAAATCAAAATTCCCAATCATCAAAAACTAAAAAACATAATAAATAATAATTAAAATAATGAGAATCAAATTTGATAAAAATTAAATAAAATTTACAAGGGATGAAATTGAAAAATAAAATAAAATAAGAAAATGATAAAAAAAATAGTAATAAAAAGAATAAAAACCAAATATAATAGATGAGAAATTAAAGAAGAATGAAATTGAAAGAAAAAATTCTAATTTTATAAATTATTTCAAATAAAATAATAATAATCAAAATAATATAAACCAAATTAAAAGGAAAACCAAATTCAAGAACTAGTTTGAAAAATTGGAGGGTTTCAAAGACAAGAGAAAAAGAGAAAAAAAAAAGATCAGGTTAATTAAAGATCCATTTCCCATACTCACCTAGGCATGTAGGAGTCATCAAGGAAATTTCAACGTGGTCTTGAAAGCTATTGTTTGACCACATGCATTGTTCAAAGTGGGTGAGCGCTATTCACATAGTAATAAGCTAATACATTTAACAACAACTTATTTTTTTATTAATATTTATATTTTTTAAAATATTATATTCCCTCTCGATGTTCTTGATTATAACAAAAAAAAGCATAATAAAAATACAAAAATATCTCTAAAAGATACTTTAATAAATTTTACTTTTACACTTTAATTGTTGTATTGTATTGAAAAAAGTAAAATGACTAAAAAGCTTCTGAATGCCACTTTAAATCTTTTTATTTTTAAGAAAAATTAAATTATTTTATTGTATTTAAAATTAAAAAAATCTATTTATCCCGATCAATTTGGTAATATCAAATAAATCTTATTTTTTCTTTTTTAATTCATTGATTGTGAAGAACAAAATTATCATTAAACATTAGCAATTAATAATGCAACAAGTAAAAATTAAATTATTTTATTGTATTTAAAATTAAAAAAATTTATTTATCCCGATCAATTTGATAATATTAAATAAATCTTATTTTTTCTTTTTTACTTCATTGATTGTGAAGAACAAAATTATCATTAAACATTAGCAATTAATAATGCAACAAGTAAAAATTAAATTATTTTATTGTATTTAAAATTAAAAAAATTTATTTATCCCGATCAATTTGATAATATTAAATAAATCTTATTTTTTCTTTTTTACTTCATTGATTGTGAAGAACAAAATTATCATTAAACATTAGCAATTAATAATGCAACAAGTAAAAATTAAATTATTTTATTGTATTTAAAATTAAAAAAATTTATTTATCCCGATCAATTTGATAATATTAAATAAATCTTATTTTTTCTTTTTTACTTCATTGATTGTGAAGAACAAAATTATCATTAAACATTAGCAATTAATAATGCAACAAGTAAAAATTAAATTATTTTATTGTATTTAAAATTAAAAAAATTTATTTATCCCGATCAATTTGATAATATTAAATAAATCTTATTTTTTCTTTTTTACTTCATTGATTGTGAAGAACAAAATTATCATTAAACATTAGCAATTAAGAGTGCAACAAGTCTAGTAATGTTTGGCATTGTAGTTTAAAATTTGATTTTTTATTTAAAATTATTTTTTAAAATTATTTTAATGGATTAAGACTAAAAATATTTATAAAAAAATTATTTTAACACATATTTAAATAAAAATATTTTAAAACAAAAATACTTCATTTCAAATGCTACGATACTCAACAAAACTTGTAGGAATAAAGTATTATATTGATTTTTTTAAAATAATTTTTATTTAAAAATATATTAAAATAATTTTTTTAATTTTTAAAAATTATTTTTAATATTATTACAGTAATCTAGGTGTATTTAAAAATATTAATTTAAAATAAAATAAATTTAAATTATTTTAAAAACATTTTTAGAATACAAATACATTAATCCTACAAACACCCACAGACACAACGTAAAGCTGTTCTAATCCATTCCGCAACGTAAGAAAAAGAAACGAAACTTCCAGATCCACTACCACCACCAGCCAATTGTATTTGTCAGCAGCAGCAGCAGAAATAGAAGAATAAGATGAGGAGGATGAGCGGTGTGCTTGTGCTCATTTTTTACATTTTAAGTTTGCTTCTTCCTCTCCCAACCACTACAGCTTCTTCCCGTTGTTCTATCAAAGGTCTTTTCTTTCTTCCTTTGTTTTTTTGTTTCCCTGCTTCACCTCACGGATATTATTATTATTATTATTTATAGATTTCTATAATAATTAATTAATTTTCTTCTTATTAGGGTTTCAAAGAGTTGTTTTTATCAAATCAAAAGCAATTTGGAATGGTTTTTAAAATAAAATAAATTATTAATGAATGAAGCTGTGGTTTTTTTAATACAGGGTTGCCACTTGTGAGGAATATCAGTGAGCTTCCACAGGATAACTATGGAAGGGGAGGTTTGTCTCATATCACTCTTGCTGGTTCTGCAATGCATGGATTGAAAGAGGTATGCTGCGCTGCGCTGCTTGCATTTCGTAGACTTTTAATATTTCTGGTGTTTTGATTATGTACTGTTACTAGTTGGATAATTGGAAGTTGGCCATCTGTGTGAGAAGAAAAAACATACCCTCTTTTCAAATGGGAACTAGTAAAAAAGAAAATGATTTTTGTGTCTCTTGTACAGAAGCTATAGAATACAATTTTGGGTTCTTAACACCTATTCAACACATTTTCTGGGCTTTGTAGGTTGAGGTATGGCTTCAAACATTTTCTCCAGGCTCGCGCACTCCAATCCACAGGCATTCTTGTGAAGAAATATTTGTTGTCCTTAAGGGAAGTGGAACTCTCTATCTTGCAACAAGTTCACACGAGAAGTATCCTGGAAAGCCTCAAGAATATTTTGTGTTTGCCAATAGTACATTTCATATTCCTGTCAATGATGTTCACCAGGTGAACCTTTCTACATAAATTGTTTTCTGATAGGATATGAACTTCTTAGGGTATTTGGTGTTCTAAGAATCTGCACTTTAGATGTATTAGGAGGAAGAAACTTGTTAATCTGACAAAAGAAACATAGCAATATCCATTACTTTTTTTTTTTTTTTGAAATTGGTTCAATGGATTTAGTTACAAGTATTGTTGTAATGGATTACAAAATCTCACCTGCAAATGCTGCTAGATGCACTTTGAAATATGAAAAAAAAAAATATATGAGAAACTGGTTCCAATTCTAATCCGCTTCCAGTTCGGAAATGAGAACCTCAAACTTTTGAGGTTGTGTGTGCAACCAAAAAATGACTGATTAGAGGATTATCTTTAAATATTCGGATAACTGACTCTATCTTGCGAACCTAGGGATTGAATGCTGCCTTTCATATCAAATTGTAATGGTTAAATGAAATTCAATTGACAAGTGTTATGCAGTGCTCAAGTATTGCATAGGCAAGGTTAAACAGGGAGATTGGTAATATTTCCATAAAAGTAATTTTGGTTTTGATTGAAGAGGTAAAATCATGCAAGAAAACCAAGTAAAATGCTGGTCAGATCAAACAGAAGAATACAAATGCTGAATTGTTTTGGCTTCCTTTTGAGTTCTGACATCTAAAGAAACATATTTCTGCAGAAGCCATCACTTGCATTTTGAGTTTACTGGCAAATTATTATCAGGACACTTGGAAACAGATATCTGAATCCTAGAAAGAAATCAAATGGCCACCAAAGTAACAAATAAAAGCTATGTAATATTATTATAGGCCAATACTTGTTCGTTTCTATATTTGTATGCAATTAGCTTTCTCTGGAAGTTGTCATTTTGTTTTCCATGTCTTCCTCTTTTCAATTGTGACTATTTCTTTTATAGCATGTCTACATGTAGACTAGTGAAGTACACTATGCTCAGGACATTTGATAGTTTGATAATATTCAGTGGAATGGTGCTGAAAGGAAATAAATATAATTCAGCTCCACTTAACTGTTTGCAAATTCCCTGACACAAGTATTTGGTTGCAATTTGTCTCTGCTGTTCCAAACACCAATATAGGTCAAATGCTCTTGGTCCTAGCTTACATAATGTGAATCTTATCTGGTCTCGTCCTTAAGTCTGTTGTCAATATATTGAAATTATTTTATCTTCTGCTGTTTTGCAATTATCTGTGACATGATTGTTTTCTTTTTTTGCTGCAGGTCTGGAATACCAATGAACATGAGGATTTGCAAATGCTTGTCATAATATCTCGCCCACCAGTTAAAGTGTATGCAAATGCTTTTCTTCTATTTTCTTAAATGTTTACAAACAATGTGCTGCAATTTATATCTTTTTTCGGACTGCTTGTTCAATTACCAGGCGACAAGCTTCTAAGTGATCTTCACAAATATTTGTTTGTTCAACCATTTGCATTATAGTATCATTATAGACGCCTTTAACTTTTATGATGCCCAAGAATCTCCATCCTCCGCTATTGAGTTGGATGATCCAGAATAGTTCTAGTTGCTTATGTATTTCTGCTGTCAGTGCTTCTGATTGTTGTCATTTGAAAAAAAGACCTGGTCACCCTACTATGCATGATATTACTGCTCTCCCTTCTACATATGGCTATGATATTTGATCCTTGGTCCTAAATGTCACACCTTTTGAAAGTTATTTCCACGTTAGGTGTCATTACAGCCTGATGTTGCAGTTCTTTTGGTTTATTATTCTGAAAGAAACATCCTTTTCTTAATATACCGAGCACACCAAGATGGGCATGATAATATAAAGCGCAATTGCAATTTACTTCCCCTTGTCTCTGTGACAAGAAACATTGTTCTAATGCAGCTATTTGTATCATAAATGTCAACATAGAGATGGAAGATAGATGTCCTGTATTATTTTTGCATTAAGTTCCTGGTTTACTTTCTTACCTTGGTTGTTTTTATACAAACACACACACACACACCTCAGAATCCAAATCTAAAAAAGCTGCAGTGTTTTCAATCTTGTCAAGCTTATTGTACATACAATATGTTTGCTCTAAAAGTTTCATCTAGATGAATCTCAAAATTTTCTTTTCCACCTTTTTTTCCCCCCCTTCTATCGATGATACCAATCAGGTGGTATGTGTTATTTCTTCAGCTTATAATGTGACTGGCTTTGGAATCAATTCTCATTTGCAGTATTCCAAAATAAGTAAATAAATTTTACACTGGTCCTTTTGTCCCCGTTTTGGTTTTTCCCTTGCTCAACAATTTCTTGTTTCCAGGTTCATTTATGAGGACTGGTTCATGCCCCATACTGCAGCAAAGTTGAAGTTTCCCTATTACTGGGATGAGCAATGCCTCCTAGAACCTCCAAAAGATGAACTTTGATATCCACTCCTTGCGCATATATGCTAACACACACATGGACTTTCTTATCGTGGACTGATAAATATTGATATGGAAGTTGTCTTGAAATTCAGGAGCTTTAAAGCGATTTACCTATTTTGCAACATCAGCTGAGAATTTCAGAAGTTGTATATATTTTGGGAACTTTTAAATGTACTCCTGACTGGAATGTGGATTTTGATGTTTTTCATTCTGCTATACGGTTTCCACGTTATCATGCAGCAAAGGCTTTTGTTTCCATATGATTGAGAAATGGTAATTTCTTGGGGTAATTGCAAATATGCTGTCCAATTAAATTGAAATAACCACTAGCTGTTGTTCCCGCTATATACCGTGTGCTGGCATTATGGATGTGTTTTTTGATATTATAAAATTTTGGTATTATAAAATTTGTTATTTGAGGAATGTAAAGATGTTTGTACTTGGTACAATGAATAGTAAAAATAGTTGTGAATGGTAATTAAAAACTAAATGGAAAGTTGATTTTATTTGTAAGAAGTGAAAAGATATATTAACATAATTCTAAAACGATTGGGTTTTTTACTATATATGAATAAATTGTAGATTTACTATATATATATATTGTGGATTAAGAGATAATTATATGTAGATTTATATAGTTACTCGCTATGTTATAACATATATAGAGATTTGCTTATAACATAGAGATATAGAGATTTTCTATTATATGTGGATCAAGATACAATGAACTGAGGATAACACTATAGCCACTTAAAGGTGTTTCTTACTTGTGTTTTTAGTAAACAATTGTGGATAACACTGCAGCCACTTGGGGGCGTTTCATAGCCACTTGAAGGTGTTTCTTACTTGTGTTTTTAGTAAACAATTGTAGCTGGGGATAAATATTATTATTTGTTTTCTAATTACCTAAGCGTTTCTCGCACATCTCATGGGGTTGTGGACACCTGATGCTTGAGCTATTAGGCTTGGTTGTTAAGCTAGTCATGTGTGCCTGCCTACGCCGTAGGTTGCTGCCACCTAGTGCTAGGGTTAGTCGAGGCCCTAGCATGCAGACATCTAGCGTGAGGTTTGCTACGTCTCGGGGCGCTAGGGGAAGCCTGAATGTTGAGTTCTATTCTAACCGCCCTTAGGTTTAGAGGCCCATGCGGCTAGATTGGTGGACTATAGGGGGGAAAAATAAAAAAAATAGTAATAATAATTATTATTGTAACACTTTGGTTAGACAAGTTTGATATTATTATTAATATGATAAATATTATTATTTATATTCTAAATATTATTATCTTTATTGCAATTAGAAGTATTGATGTTAAGGATAGAAGAAAATTGGAAAAACATATAATAACAATTATCATTATTGTTATTGTTAATATTTTTTTTTAAGAAAATTATTACTATATCAACTTTAGTCAAACAAATTTCATATTATTATTATTAATTCTAAATATTATTATATTTATTGTAATAGAATGTTTAAAAAATATTATTATTTGTACTAAATTAAAAATAGAAGGAAATTACAAATAATAATAATAATAATAAATTATTATTATTATTGTAAAAAAAATTAAAAAAATATTATTGTAAGCCACAAGCTCTTAGCTAAACGCACACCCTAGAGGGTTGTGTACACCTAGCACTTGGGCTAAAAGGCTTGGGAGTTGGGTAGACCACATGCACCTACCCGCGCTCTAAGCTACTGCCACTTGGTGCTAGGACTAGCTGAGGCCCAACACCTGATGTGGGGCCTGCCACGCTTTGTGCGTTAGGGGCAGATACACATGCTTGTAGAGTCGCGAGGTAGGGTATGCAACCCCGCACTCCTAGCCTCCAAACCCATACGCTCGGTGCAAACCCAGTAACACGACCAAAAGAAAACGAAGAAAAAGAAGAAGTTGATGATAAATTTGAGATAGAAGATCAATTTGAGGATCAAACAATGATAAAAACAAATGTCAAGGTTAGAGGATCCACTAATAGTATTTCAAATAATTACAGTATATTTTTTTTATTATTCAATTGAAAACCACATACAAAGGAGGTTAAAATCAGATTATGAGTTGTTAATATGATTACATTAGTTATATCGAAATAATGCTAATACTTATAAATATTGTCATATATTCATGATTATAACTTATGTTAACAATAAATTAAGTTTTTTTCATAGCACAAGTGTTGGTTATATTATATGGTTGGGCTATGAAAGTGTCAAGTATTTGTAGTACCAAGTGTTATATAACACAAATCTAGACTAACTAGTGAACAAGACAACAAATACAAAACATGTTAGTGAGTAGTACTTGAAAGTATATTTTTATCAAGGTTTTATATCATTATTTTGCACTTGAAGTATTAATAACTCCCTAACTAAAACATGTTTTATAATAACATATCTAATAATATAAGATACCTTTAATTTATGGTAAATATTTGTTTTAAATATAGGTCTATCACATAAATGAAAGGACAAAGAGATGGCTAAACATAGAAAAGGGATGTTGATGCAGTCTAAGCCGGAACACTATTCAGTAATTGGATTATATCTAGAGTTGTAGATCTCAGATTTAGGTTACTTTATATGGATGAAAAGGTGAGAAACTTTTAGAGGAGCCTAATATTTAAAAAGGTCATTTTCAAGTTCAAATTGTAACAACAACGAAGAAGTCCGAATCTGTCTTACAATTCGAACACTGTTTAGTGCTTGACCCATATTTAGAGTTCTAAAAATTCAAATGATTTCCATTTTTTTTTCTTGTAAAGATGAGATAATTTCCTACAATATTCATTTTCAAGTGGTTCCAATTCTAACATTATCAATGACATTTTGGGCAGACAAAAGAAGATAAGGATTGTCACCAAGTCACGAGTTGGCCACCTACTCATCAATTAGTCATCAAATCAATAGTTTTTAATTTTGGCCTATAAAAGGAGGCATTTGCCATGCATTTAGGCATCTTGGTTTCCAGATCAAGATCATGATCTTGTTTTCTCTCTTTGTATTTTTATAATGCTTAAGTTTTGCTTTCATTAATATCAAGTTTATACCTTTCATTTCCTTTCCTTTACTTACTTAACTTTTATCTTATTTATATTCTTTTTTTTTCTTTCATTCATTATGTTTAGTTAAGTTTACTATGTCAAGGTGAAAAAGTTACACTAATGGTGTAAGAATAAGTATACTGTAAAAGTGCTTTTACCTATTCTAGGCATATGTGAAATGAAAGACTTTCAGTTGTTTTGCACGACGTTTCTTTGCAAAAGTGCTTTTACCTATTTCAGGCATGTGTGAAATGAACGAGTTAGAGAACTCACCTGATAATCAGACCTTTGCTTCAATCAACCAGCGAATATCTTCACGAATTCCATGATTCATTAACAACCTCAATCTTGCATATCTAGCACGGTAAATTTTTGTAATTGCATTCTGAGGTAGAGCGGGAAAATACTTTTTCAATTTTTCAAGATTAGTGTCCATTATCAAGTGAGAATTAGAAGAGAGATTCAAAGACTTGCACAAATATATACACAGATATCAGTTATTATGGGAAACTGAAAGAATCGACTTAAGTCACGGAGTACCATTGTCCGCCATTTGACCGGGGTGAGAGAAACTAGCAAAAATCACTCAAAAAGAAACATAAAAATAATGTGAGAAAAAAAAAAATAATCAACCTTTATCTACAAGATAATTCAAACCAGTTGATTCATTTTCACTAGGAAAATTGTCAAAGTAAGCTTTCAAACGATGTCCATTTTCCTTAAAAACATTGTTATTCATTGAATTCTCAATATCATAGGCCCTATAAGGATTGCTCCATCTTGATCTTAGCTCTCTAGGGAATGCATAGAGTTGAGAATTATAAAACAAAACTTTTTAACCAGTATCAATTTTTTGACAATTTTCACAAGTTTTGTAGAATGCATGGATGTCCTTGAACATGGTGAGCCAATAAAATCCATTTTGAAAGATTTTTGTAGCTATCGTTTTTGACAAGAAATAATTCCACATGCTTCAAAATGACAAAGTTTAATGACACTACATACCTCATTATCGGGAATGAATCTTTGAAATATTTGATCAGGACAATATTTGAATAAGTTAGGGTCATCACAATAAAAGTTCTTCACTTCGTTCAAAAACTTTTCTTTATCTTGGGTACTCCAATCAGCTGGCAAATCTCCTAAAGTAAGAAAATTAATATTTTTATCATACCAAGGCATTGGACTAAGAGAAAGTAAGGATTCGTTAGGAAAATAATCATCGATTGGTGTGATGTTAGATATCGAATTTGTTGTCACTTTTGACAAAAGATCCGCATCAATATTTTTGGTGTGTTTTTCATCCGTGATTTCTTCCTCAGAATAAATCATTTGCAAATCTTCAGATTCATCCAACTCATTTTTACTTAAAGTAGATTCAAGTTGATCATAAACTAATTCATCAATATGATCTACTTCTTGTAAATCATTATCATCTCCGGGTTGCTTGCAAATGTTGAAAATATTCATCTCCAATGTCATGTTTCCAAATGATAGCTTCATCAGTCCATTCCTACAATTAATCAATGCATTAGAAGTTGCAAGAACTTTATCAGTCCATTCCTATAATTAATCAATGCATTAGAAGTTACAAGAAATGGACGTCCTAAAATAACAGGAAATGAATTACATGCTTCAACAGGTTGTGTGTCCAAGACAACAAAATCCACAAGATAAATGAATTTATCAACTTCTACTAACACATCTTCAATTATTCCTCTAGGCACTTTTACAGATCTATCGGCAAGTAAAAGAGTTACAGAAGTTGGTTTTAACTCACCTAGATTGAGACTTTGAAAAACTGAATATGGAAGTAAATTCACACTGGCTCCAAGATCAAATAAGGCTCTTTCAATTTTATGTTCTCCAATAAAGCAAGAAATTATAGGATAACCAGGGTCTTTATATTTCAAAGCATTATTGTTGTGAAGAATAACACTTACTTGTTCGGCTAAAAAGGCTCTCTTTTTCACATTCAGTTTTCTCTTCATAGTGCATAGATCTTTCAAAAATTTAGCATAGGAAGGAATCTATTTAATAGCATCTAGCAAAGGTATATTGATTCTTACCTGTTTGAAAGTTTCAAAGATTTCAGAGTTGTGATTGACTTTTCTTTGTTTGGTCATGGTATGAGGAAATGAAAGTGCTGGCGGGGAATCAATCGTTTCTTTGCAATTTTCAGATTCAACCCCTTCCTTACCCTTAGAGATTAACTCATCATCTTTCTCATAAGGTTCAAGAGTGGGTTTTTCAATAACCTTACCACTGTGAAGAGTAGTGACTGATTTGACTTGATCCATGTGTTGGCTTCCGGAACTACTTGCATTTGCATTATATTACCCCTTAGGATTTTGTTGTGGTTGAGATGGAAACTTACCTTTCTCTTGAAAACTGAGAGCAGATGTCAATTTTGCAAGAGTATCTTTAAAATCTGTCATGTTTTGAGTAAGTTGAGTATTGATTATCTCTTGCTTTTCAATGAATACATGCAATGTTTCCTCAAGATTTCTTCTTGGAGTTGGAGCATTAGCAGGTGTATATCCATGAGAATTTTGGAAGTTGTGGTGTGTTTGAAACGGTATTTAAGAAGTTTGTACATTGTTATTATCACTCTTCCAACTGAAATTTGGGTGATTTCTCCAACCAAGATTGTATGTTTGCAAGTATGGGTTCTTAAGGCATTAGGTGTTGAGACACCCCTTCAAGCTTAATAACTCAGGTTGCAGATACTGATACGTAGATAGTACAATGTTTAATTCTCTTAAGCTTTTCTCCTTAACCCATGTAACAAATATTGGGTCAATAGCTCCCAAGTCTGTTGACTTTAGGGTATTAGGTGTTAAAACACCTCTTGGGACTTAATTGCTTAGGTTATGAGGCTACGAAACCAAACTTATCTATGTTTTTATTATCATTAATTTTTTATATTTATATTTATATTTTTTTATAAATTATATACTATCCCTTTCCCTTAGTTATTACCTTTAACAAAAGAACATAAATAATGTAATAATCTAATGTGCAATTGACAATCATATGTTAAAGTGTGTGTGTGCAAATGAAGGTTTAGGAATACTTGTTAAATGAGTATATGAGCAAAATTAAGTGATAACAATGCGAGAGTTTGTAAACCTCAATGTTTCAAGAAGTATTATGATAGACCTTGTTAAGAATATTTACTAATATGCGTCTCAAGAGTCACTTTAACAAAATAATTTTTTACTCTATCATCATAATACTCTATCAAGGTTTTATATCATCATTTTTCACTTGAAGTATCAATAACTCCTTAACTAAAGCATGTTTTATAATAACATATCTAATAATATAAGATACCTTTAATTTGTGGTAAATATTCATTTTAAATGCAGGCCTATCACATAAATAAAAGAATTGATTGATGAATTTAAGAATTGAAATTGAAAGGACATAAAGATGGCCAAACTTAGAAAAGAGATGTCGATGCAGTCCAAACCGGAACACTGTTCGGTAATCGGGTCATATCTAGAGCTATAGATCTCGGATTTAGGTCTACTTTATATGGATGGAAAAGTAAGACATAGGCCTACAACTTTCATATGGAGCCTAAGATTTAAAAAGGTTATTTTCAAGTCCAAATTGTAACAACAACAAAGAAGTCTGAATTTGTCCTCCAGCCCAAGCAATGTTCAGTGCTTGGCCTATATCTGGAGTTCTAGAAGTTCAAATGACCTCAATTGTATACCCTTAAAAGCTAAGACAATTTCCTACAACTTTCATATTTTCAAGTGGTTCTAATTTTGACGTTATCAATGACGTTTTGGGCAGACAAGAGAAGATAAAGATTGTCACCAAGTCAAGAGTTGGTCACCCACTCATCAATTAGTCATCAAATTAATACTTCCTAATTTTGGCCTATAAAAAAAGGCATTTGCCATGAATTTAGGTATCTTGGTTTCCAGATCAAGATCATGCTCTTGCTTTCTCTCTTTGTATTGCTTATGTTTTGCTTTCATTAATATTAAGTTTATGCTTTTCATTTCCTTTCTTTTACTTAGTTAACTTTTATCTTATTTATGTTCTTATTTTGTTTTTTTTTCTTTCATTATGTATAGCTAAGTTTATTATGTCAAGGTGAAAATGTTATAGTAATATTGTAAGAATAAATATAATGTAAACTCAATATGAACTTTAATGTTTGATACTAACATGTTTTGTATTTGTTATCTTATTCACTCTTTAATACTTTGCTTGTTAAATAATTAATCTAGATTTATGTTGTATAATACTTGGTACAATAAATGCTTGGCACTTTCATAGCCCATACTGTATGGTATAACTGACACCTAAGTTATGAAAGGAATTTGATTTGTTATTAACATAAGTTATAATCATGAATGGCTGACGAGATTTACAAGTATTAGCATTATTCGAATAAGATAACTAATATAATCATGTTAACAATTTATAATCTGATTGGAACCTTCTTTGTGTGTGGTTTCTAATTGAGTAATAAGAGTTTATACTATACTTGTTTAACATACCATTAGTGGATCCTCTAACCTTGACATTTGTTGTTATCATTGTATAATCCTTACATTGATTTTTCATCTCAAAGTTCTCTTCAACTTCTTCTTCTTCTTCTTCTTCTTCTTCTTTTTTTATTATTATTATTACTACTACTACTAATACTATTATTATTATTATTATTAGTACTATTATTATTGTTGTTGTTGTTGTTGTTATTATTGTTTATAATTGTTGTTTATAATTTATATAATTAACCTCCCTGTGATTCGATCCCGGTCTTACTAGGTTATTTATTACTTCGACACTCTTGCATTTGAGAAAATATATCAATTTTTTAATCATGTCAAAGCATATACAAATTAACTTGCACTTTGTTCAGGACCTATTTAAAAAAAAAAAAAGCTCTCAATGTTCAACATATCCATACAAACAATCAACTTGTAAATTTATGCACCAACCCCCTTTCTAGACAACACACAAACTTTCTCACGAACAGGATCGGTCTCACCGATGGTAGTCTAATTCCTGTGAGGGGTGTATCAAGGAAGAATAAACTATCATCACATGGTAATAAAAGATTTCAACTCATGACAGCTGATATGCCAAGACTATTGCAAGCCAACTCCTGTAATCCAAGATTTCATGACAGCTAATATGCTAATTACTGCAAGCTAGAATCAAAGTTGATTTTTTGTATTTATTCTTCTTTACACACTTTCCATACTTAGTGACTCTATTTTTGTATATAAATCAGTTCTGACAATTGAATAAACTATACACAATTCAAAACATTTGTTGTTATCTTTTATTCTATGTCATGTATGTATCTAACAATATGGTGTGGCATTTTCTTTCTGCGTAAAACTAATGCTCAAATGCTTCTGCAGAGGGTATTCTTGGTCACACCGTCAGCAATTAAGTTCAGCATCTGGGGCCTCTAAATAACTTTTGTTCTTGCAGTGGGCCGATTTACTGGACTTCAATGCTCAGACTTGAGAATGAGAATACCATAAGTGAATCTACCTTCCTGTGACAGGTAACAATTTACGTGGCCTCGTCCTGCATCTGTTCTTATGTGTTGACTTTTCGAAACATGGATGCTCGATTATATGAAAACGTAACGTCAAAAAATGATCCGTATTTTTTATTCCGTTAACATGCTTGATCAGATGGAACATTTGCATTCATACAAGAAAAATTATTTGGCGTTACCTGATTCGCTGTAGGTTGATAGCCATCTGTGAGGAGATTAATGCTGCGAGAGCAGAGGGTGAGCTTGGAGTTGAAGAGGTTCTTTACTGGACACTAATAAAGATTTACAGGTCGCCACACATGCTTCTGGAGTACACTAAACCAGACTAGCACTGACACGAACCACCCTGCATTTTCAAGTCACAAGGAAAGATGCTGACACGACGTTTGACCAGCACCAAGTTACTCGAGACCACGGCATAGATGGATTATGATTTCTCTTTTCCTTTCAAAATACATAATATCATTTCTGCAGAGGATTCGCTGCTTCGATTTCTTATTTGAGATTGGCCCTCAAACTGTAATTTCACCGTAGCACCTTTATAATTATCACTTTTTCCCCGCATGGCCAATGCAGCGCAGTACAACTAAAAACTGAAAATTACGGGGTCAAAGTGCATATTTTCCTGTGATGTACATAAGGCTTACACCCACCCAAGTTCCTGTACAGAACCTTTTTGGGGGTGTTAAAAGTGTGCAACTGTATTCTTGATGTATTGAAACAATTCTTACAAAATTTAAAAAGAAAAATGAGTAGTCAAATTTCAATACATTCATCCAGCTGTGGGATTTGAATATTTCTTCGTTTGCTAGATGATGCACCCACTTGTACGCATGTCAAGAGCGCCAAACGATTTGATTGTCTTCAGTTTCTTGCGCCCAGAGTTTTTTCTAGATTTTTTCTTGGTTACTTTCTCTCAAGCGTACAATTAATGATGTTTTTGGGTGGATGAAACCCAATTTAACACAAGAGGATGTGCAGTGATATACATCAGTAACAATGGTAATGCAAGAAACAACCGTAATATCAGATATTCGCAATGAACTGCTTGGAAACATGCAGAACCAGAACCAGACCATTCATGACTAGACACACCAGAATTATTTCCTTAGCTGTGGGGCTGTGTTGTGCTTTACAGTATAAAATATCAACAAGGATTATAATATATTTCATTCATTATGAAATAATCTATAACCTTGTAGTCAAATTGTTCATTGTAGTAATTTTTAAATTAAAAAAAAAAGTCTAAGAAATGTATAAATGCAAAAAAAATAATGTGATGCTATCAATATTTACAACGTTATGAGAAAGATAAACATGAGGAAAAAACAATCTACCAAAATATGATAAAAATTCCTCTCGCATATTTCTCTCCCCTATATACTGATAATTACAACTTGAACACTGAAATTTCTCTATGATACACCAATTTCCACAATAAGCAAATATGTTACACTTCAAAATGACAGCACCTCTAAAATGTTATTTATTTTTTATTTATTTTTTTGTACAAATAACTCCACACTCTCTTGAGGAGAAAGGATCTAATACCAACCCAAATCAATGGCATCCATTGTCAAGAAGCTTGACGCAGTTTATCGTGTCAGCCGACAATAACTCGTTATGTTGGTTCATAGACCAAATAAGTTGCAGATGCCAACCGCATCACTGCCTTCCTAGAAACTGGCAAGTAGTATGGTCCACAGTCCACGATCCATACTTAAGCCGAAGGAAAACTAATTCTCTGCTGCAATCACCAGAATAAGGAAAAAAAAAATACAGTAACAATGCCTCTGCTCTCACCCCTGCAATCCTAGTAAACACAGATCCCTACAGACTACGGGTTTCCATTGAAGGACTAGATTTTGCACCCAAAGAAGATTGCGACTGGTTGTGAAATATCTGATGCAATTAAATAAAGTAAACAGTAAGCTAGCAACTAGTTTAACTATTAAAAAAACACTGTTCTAACATCTTCTCAAAGCATCAGTTCTTTCTAGTTGCCTTACAATAATCAATAGGGTACTGGAATGGGAGGAGGACAGCGACGAAACCAACAAGATCACATAAGGTAAAAAGCTGCAGGAAATTCTCACCAGACCAATCTCACAAGTTACAAGACCCCAACAAAATTTACTGCAGATCAGCAGACAAAGTTCCACTTCAAGCTGAATCCTTTAATGCCCTCTTTTTGTTGCCATTTGCACTAGAGGGAACCTTTCTCACAGCATCTTCAGGGACGGTGTCTTCCATTACCTTTGGAGAAGTAAAATTGAAGGCAGAGAGGTTTACATCTTTGTATTTTGGATTTGCTTCTATAAATGCTGCCATCTCATTGCGTGTTCTCAGCTTCTTTCCTGTGGGAGTGATATAGTAAGCATCCATTTTTGAGAAATCACGTCTCAGCACCAAGCTCCTTTTAAAACCTTCTGGAGTCTTGGGAACGCCAGGCCTATCAATGACCCAGGTTCGAGTGGCATTGTACTCAATGTCAGCAGGATCATCACAAGATACGCCAGGTTTTCTGTCACAAACATATGGATTCTCTTCCATTTTACTTCTTATCTCCTCATACTCTTCTTCAGTCGGAATCACCCTCCATTTTAAGCATTTGTCGCACTGTGCAGCATATGTATCAATTGATCGGTTGGCAACTCGTGGATTCTGTCATCACAACTTAAAAAGCACTTAACATCTCTTTCCTATTTATTTTCCTCAAATGACAAAACAAATTTGTAACTAATTTAGCAGGTTAGGTTCAAGTTTAAAGAAAAAAAAGATTCTGAAATTTTGAATTACAAGAATAAAAAGGGAATTAGAATATAATGAATCTACATGATGGAGAACGTATATCTTTCTTTCTATAGTGCATCCTAAAAACTTGGATTGCCACCAGGAAAGGCAATCATCAGCCTTGGAAAAGAAATGGGTAATTCAATGTGCTGATAATATCGACAAGAAAAAACAATGGCAAAGAAAATTTTTGCATCTTTTTTATAATCTATTGTACCCACTTGACACACAGAGGTCACGATGCACCCAATACAAAGACACAAAATCAACGGCAAGAGTAGTAAAAACAACCAAACAAACATTGAAAGTCGAGGAACTTAAGGCACCAAACGACAAGACTACCGTGGAACCACCAATAAAGTACCATATCATCAATTTGAACTAGTATGCCCACCCGATAGCAACAACTACTAATTAATCCGCATATGATAATAAATCTTTTGACAATTTTATTTTTTGTGTTCACGAAGATTAAACATCTTTACGGCGCAAATCGAAGAAAAATAAAGACAATCTCATGTTAGGGTTGAATGTACAGATATAAAGATCATCTCTCGCTTGCAACATCCCTACCCTTATCTTTTCTTCAAAAATAAATAAACAAATCTCAGAAGCTAAATTACTTAGCTCTATAGAGATCGGATCGGAAACGTAAGCCCTAGATTATTTTAGGGGATTGAATCGGAGTAGTACCTTGGGGGATGTTTTGGGGGTTTCAGGACTACGCTCTTTCAGTGCCATGCCTCTCTCGGCTTCTCTTCTCTTCTCGACTCTTCAGCTCACCAATTTTAGGTATTTGACAGTCAACGGACGACCCCATTTTTCGGGACACAACACCGCTTTATTTAAACTTCCTTCCCTCTCAATGTCACTGCCTGTCTTATCTTTTGCCACGTATACGTTCCTCGCTAACTAGAGTTAAGAATTTAATTCGTTAAATTTCAGACCTCTTCACAAGTGGAAAGAGATCACTATTATTTGAAATTTGAAATATTTATTTTTTATATATCAATTTTTTTAGGATTAATAATTTATTTTTTATATTTTCAAAATATAATATAAAATTGATGAGATAATTAAGTTATACAAAGGGTTATATATATATATATATATAGTGATAGGTTTCGTTTAAATATAAATAAAAAACTCACAAAAATATCATATGCAGGTGAGGATATATCATAAATCTGAAATAATTTTCTGCTTAAATAGTAAACCATACGCATGAAACTGAATAATGGGTAAGCCAAACACAAAGACACATCATAAAGCCATTATCAATAATTGACACCTAACAAATGAAATGATAGAAATGGACTCCACACACTATTGAAATAAAATGCAACAAAAAGATAACATCAAGCATCAATTTTGTTAACTATTAAGACCTAGTCTATACACACTATTGTGATTTGGTTTGAAATATTTATCTAAATATCGTGGTTTATCAATACTTTCCCAACCAAGTGGACACTTGTCTACAAGGTCCACATCTGGAAATTACTCAAGTAATGACTGGTGTGTCTCCTACGTGACCTCTTCAACTGGTAAATGTTTCCATTGAACCAAATGTTCTTCAAACATTTTTCCTTTTTTTGATCCAGTGAGTATCTAGAATGTGTTTAGGCGCAAGTATGATCGCTTCTTCATCAATTATGGGCAGTAACTTAGTAGAGGATAGTGTATGCTCACCAATAAATTTCTCTAAAAGGGAAATGTGAACAACTATATGAAAGCGGGCTCTCATTGGCAATTAATGTTTGTAAGCAATTAATTTTTTGTATTATAGGATACGACCTATAAAAGTGACTAGCAAGCTTCTAGTGGGCACATTTAAAAAATTGATTATTATCGATAGGGATGCAACTTGAGAAACATCATTTCACCTATTTCGAACATGACATCCCTGCTCTTTTAATCAGTTATTTTTTTCAATCGATGGAGGCTTCCAAATTGGTTTTGAGTTGTCATGGTATCACATCTCTAGTTATCAGTTGCCTATCCACTTCATTGATAGAAGAAAAAAGATATTATAATTGATACGACCAAAAGATCTCAAGTGTAAGAGTATCGAAGTAATAAATAACCCAGCAAGATCGGGGTCGAACCACAGGAAGGTTAATTATATAAATTATAAATAATAATGATGACAACAACAACAACAACAACAACAACAATAGTAATAGTAGTAGTAGTAGTAGTAGTAGTAATAGTAGTAGTAATAGTAGTAGTAGTAGTAGTAATATTAATAGTAATAATAATAGTAGTAGTTCTAATAGTACTAGTAATAGGAATAATAATAATAATAATAATAATGAGAGCTTTGAAATGTGATATTGATATAAGGAGTAAATAATGATAAAAACAATTATTAAGGTTAGAGGATCCACTAATGGTAGTTCAAACAAGTATAGTATAAACTATTATTATTCAATTGTAAACTACACACAAAAAAGTTCTAATCAAATTATAAATTGTTAACATGATTACATTAGTTATCTTATTTGAATAATGCTAATGCTTATAAATGTTGTTAGGTATGCATGATTATAACTTATGTTAACAAAAAATTAAGTTCCTTTTATAACACAAGTGTCAATTACATCATATGGTTGGGCTATGAAAGTGCCAAATATTTATTGTACCAAGTGTTATACAATATAAATCTAGATTAGTCATTTAACAAGCAAAGTATTAAGAGTAAACAAGATAACAAATACAAAATATGTTAATATCAAACATCAAAGTCTATGTTGAGTTTATATTAAACTTATTTTGACACCATTAGTGTAACCTTTTCACCATGACATGATAAACTTAGTCAAACATGATAATAATAAAAAAAAAAAAAGAAACATAACTAAACAAGATAAGAACACAAAAAAGATAAAGTTAATTAAATAAAAAAAGAAAGAAATGAGAAGCATAAACAAGAGATTAATATAAGCAAACTTAAGCATTATAATAAAGAGAGAGTAAGAGCATGATCTTGATCTAAAAAACAAGATGCCTAAGCAAATACCTCCTTTTATAGGCCAAAACTGGAAACTTTTGATTTTTTGACTAATTGTTGAGTGGATGGCCATGTCTTGACTTGGTGACAATCCTTATTTTCTTGTTTGAACAAACATTATTGCTAGCATCAGAATTTGAATAGACTTAAATAATGAAAGTTCTAGGAAATTGTCTCCGCTTTCCAAGAAAAAAAATTAAGGTCATTTGGACTTCTAGAACTCAAGATATGGGCTAAATACTGAATAGTAGGCTGCATAATAGATTCAGACTTCTACGTTGTTGCTAAAATTTGGACTTTCAAATAGCATAATTGAGTCTTGCCTTCTGTATGAAAGTTTTAGGCCTATGTCTTAACTTTCCATCTATATAAAGCAGATCTAAATCTAAGTT